GTGTCGTATGTGATCAGAAGTTTATTTATTTAATTATTTTTATTATTATTATTATTATTATTATCTTCTGTGTTGTGTGATACGTCCATACTCACCAGACAAGGGAAAACAAATTTTTTCACATTCTCAGTTCCGATTTTGTAGAACTGATTGAGGCCATAAACGATAGAACTGACCCGATAGAACCGATGACTGATTAAACCTAAATTACATATCGGGGAACCAAACTGGATATACTTATTCGGTCCTAACCGGTTCCGGTCCAGGTCTAAACTCTCATCCTTAAACCCATATGCATTTTAATAGTAAAAATGTATTATTCGACGCATCACGTGTTACTTGTAAGCACAATGTTTTCTAATGAAACTTAATAGCCGAAAAAAAACTCTGCACACCCGTCGCTTGGCACGGGTAAACGGCTAGTTTATATATATATATATATAAATATAAGTATTATATTATATATATATACTATATATATATATATATATCTATTATATATATTATCTATATATATATATATATATATCGATTCTATACTTATAAAGCATATAAGCAAAACCTTAACCACGTTTTTATGCACAAGATACATGTTTTATAAGCCAAAACTCTTAAATACAACCTAAAAAACATATTGTACAACCCCTTCCTGCATTCCTTTTTATTCCCATGTTCAACTCACACGGATTGACAACATATCTATCCACATGGATTGCCAACATGTCCGATCCAACGGATGACTATAATGTATAATTGATCTAACGAATACAAACTCATGGGAACAAACACAAACCCCATTATTTCCTGTCCATTTATCTCCAACTCACAATTTCTAAACCCTAAAAACTCTCTTTATCTCTCAATTTGCACCGGAGTTTCTCTCCGTCACTGTTTTTCTCCATCCTCATCGATGAGGCTGACCATCAGATATTTCCCTGCATGTTATATGTGTAGCTTATGGCTCATAATGTCTAGAAATGTGAAACAAAAAACTGTTTTTCTCCATCCTAGCTAATGTGTCGGACACCGTCGTCGTCACCACCATCAATGGCGACATCTAATCCACCTTCTATAACAATGTTGATGTAACCGGTCCACCTTCTCCTCCAAACCCCTCACAATCATCACATTCCCATGCTCCTCTTCGACGCCATCACCAGGTACTTCTTTCTACTTTCAACTTAGATCTCCAACGGTTTGATATAATGCCCAAGTGAATCTAATTTTTTTTTGATGAAATTTTATTAGGTTGAGAATAAGAGATATGTCGGGGTTTAGTAAGAAAATTGGGTTATAGTCGGTTGGCTTGAAGTGGAAGATCAGAAGAAGTTTCGAATATCTGTTGGGTTTGAGAAGAAAGATACAGTGGATAGTTGAAAAATCTTTCAATTTCTAAAGAGTGGAAGTAATATGTAAAGCTTATTTGGACCTGAAAGCATGCAGGAAATTGCCATCTCCAGGTTTGAGATGAAAGATACACACTAAAATGATATATACATGATTGGAATCGATCGTTATGGTTTGTGCTTCTCTTTGGTTTCAATCTTAATTAGTAACATACTTGTTGTATGTAACATATTTTCTTATGTTTTTGTTCAAGATAAATGTTTGCGTTGCAGATCTGATTTTAAATGTAAATGAGTTTTGTGATGTTGAAAATTTTTCATTGTTATACAGATATAATATTAAAAGATTGGTGATTGTTTTGAACATACCCACTTTTTAAATAAGATTTAGAGTTTAAAGTTTATTGTAATGTTTCATATTTATGTGAATCAATCTTTTTAGGTTATGATATATTGTTTTTTGTCTTATTGGTTCATTTTTCATTTTCAGTAAACTGTTTAATCAAGTTTAAAAAAATTCTCAAGGGCCATGTGATAATTAAATAGTAATATGTCTACAGTTAAAGTTATTTAAAAAAAATATATACAATGTAGCAAAATGGTACAATGTCAACCAAGCTTTTAGAGGCTTATACACAAGTTGAGATTATTCAGATGTTTACTATTAATATAAAAATTTATCATTAAAATTATCTTATAATATAAATATAAAAGCATATTGCAAAAGTACATATAAATTTAGATAAAAATGTTTAGGTTATTTGTTTTTCTTTTCGGTAATCGTAAGATGTGAATGTTAATGGTTTTTTGAAAATGTTAATAATTTTTGTTTCAAAGTTACGATTAACTTTTTAACGTTAAGATAATATTTATTATACTCCCTCCTCCGTCCCAAAATTATTGTCGAAAGACCAAAAACATATAGATTAAGAAAAACAATCATTAGTTTTGTATTTTTGAGTAAAATGACCGTCTTGCCCTTTTCTAAAACCAATGGAAAATGTGTGTTTGTAATTATTCAAGTTTATTTTATTAAATGTTAGGGGTAATATGGTAAAAGTGTAATCTATTTTTAATAGCGGACAATAATTTTGGGACAAACTAAATAGTAAGGTGTTGATTTTGGGACGGAGGGAGTATATAATAGCAATAGTTAAAACTTTAATTATTTACGAATTTCCAAATTAGGAAATAATTATCTTCAAAACGTTGTTGAAGACTATTAAAGTATTTCTTGGATTTGAAAGAGATATAAGTAATCTATTATAATAAAAATATGGAGTTAAATATTTAACCACCCATTTGCAATAAATTTTTTTCGTAAACAATAACTATTTAAGAAAGACAATTTGGTTTTGAAAAAAAAAATAAAAATTCGACGTTAGTAAAATTCTTATGTTTAGTATTCAACATAAGATAGGTATGGAAAAAAAAAGTTATTCCTATTAATATAAATAGGTTTGCGGAAAAAACCGCCTATTAATCTATTGAAGGAGACCTATTATCTCATTTTTCTCTTAGACCAAGAGGAATGGGGTCGCCACCGGGCTCGCCAGTGATCAATGAACACCATCCCTAGCTCTCGCTAAGGGGGTCGCCACCAGAGCCTTGTTACAATTTTGGCGAAAAGAGAGCGAGAGTGAGGGTTGAATTTGATTGGTGCTTGCAGGGCAGATGAAACATACAGTGATAAACCAAGAAAATGAGGAATATTTTTGTAAACCATCCATTTGTGATTGTTTACAGAAGATGAGAAGGAAGATAGGATTAATGTTTCCAAAATTCAACGAAAGAGTCGCATGCCTGGTTCTTCCTTCGCTGCCGTCCACATATCCAAAAAGAAATTGAGATTAGGTATTTTTTAAAGGCTTTATATCATTGGGGGCATTAATGGGTTAGCTATTAGGCTTGAATTACTTTAGTCTTTAGTTGTTAAACAATTAGAAATTATGTTAATAAATTTGTTATTAAATAATATCTTTCGTTTGTGCAAAATAAAGTTTGGCATTTTGTTTATGTGTTTGAGTTTTGTAATCAACAATAACATAAATAAAATCTTGTTTTAAGTTATTGTAATTGTTTTTATTTAATATGAGTGTCTCGTTAAAAAAACTTATGACATATTAATTAAATAAAAAAAATGTTTGTGTAGCATTAAAAAATGTTTGTTTATTAAAATAAAGTAATTAAATTAAATTCGAAAAAGAAAATAAAAAAATGGAGTGCTAAGAGTGTTACCACTCTTTACCACATTATGTGCTAAATGGAAAAAAATGAGGTGACAATCAAAAAGCTGACATGACAAGGTGTTAAGAGTGTTACCACTCCCCTTAGCCTTATATAGTCTATCATCTACTTTTTCTTCATCATTTCACAATTCCTCGGTACTATATTCGATTTTTGAAATTTCAAACCTAATAAAATTAAAAAACTTAATAATTATTAAAATTTTTAAATAATTTTATATTTTATGATTTGATAAACAATTTAATATAGGTCATATATTTACTGATTTTGATTTAAAGTATTAAAAAATTAACTTATATTGATTTTTTAATGCAATTACAATATGGGAAAATATTGAAGTTATTCATCTTTTCTATCTTTAATATAAACATCTATAGTAATTAATTAAATATACTAAATATTTGTTATACATTATAAAATATAAAAATAATACTAATAAAGACACGGGACGAGATAGTATGCCTTCCTTTTTAATAAAGTTACAGCAAATAACATATGAATTATATGACGTAGTTTTTATAAGTTATATCATGGGTTAACTTTCTATTAAGTTTTATAAGTTTAGCTTACATCTGTCATATCAAATTTGCTAATTTAATGAGACGTGGCCATGATGGTTTTTGATGGAATATATGTACAAATGTTGTATTTTACTATAGAAAAAAACATCTAGAAATTCATACTTGAGGATTCCATTTTTTGTGGATTCTTAAGACAATAAGAAAAACTAAATAGTACCTAACGATTTTATAATATTATTAATCATTTATATGGTTTTGTTGATTTTGTTTCTATTGGTTCTTGACTGAACATTTGAAATAAAAATGATTTATTTTCGATGGAATGGATCTGACATATAAAAACATATACTCAATATACACAAAAGTGACGAGATACCTTCCAATAATTGAGTCTTATTTTTAATATAACATGTTTAAAGCAAATTAATCGTTAAATTGAAAATAATCATTGTCTGTATGTCTCAAGATGACATATTCCAATTTAAGCTGAAGAGAAAATAATTTCCAATTTGATTATGTTTCACGATAACAAATAATAAAACTCAAGTACAAATAATTTCCAAATGTAGGTATTTATCTTACGAAATCGGTTTTCACCCATGACCAAATCAATGTGACATTATCCAGATGGATATCACATGCAAAAGAATTAATCGTATGCTAAAATTAATTTATGAAAAAACTATTTACATCCGTCGCTTAGTGCGGGTAAACGGCTAATATATATATATATAATATATATATATATATATATATATATATAATATATATATATTATATAATGAATAAATCAAATAATATTAGTAAAATGGAGAGAACAAAAGACAAAATAGACTAAAGAAAAAAAATTAAAAACAATATTAAATAAGAATACACTAAATAATAAGGGGTACATATGGACTCACCATTTAGCAACAAAAAAACCCTATTATTATATAAACTCTAATTATATCATGCAGGATATCAAGTTATAACTAATCAGAATCATAATTTAAGTATGGTTCTAGAGGCTTTGTGATTTCAGCATTTCCTTATCAAACTTTTCATATTGATTATGGTAGACTCCATGAAGGGCATTGGTGGCGAAACTCGTAGCACTACCTATAACGTTGTGTGTGGTTGATTCAGTTTCCTGTTTCCTAACCAGCTCCCAAACTTTCCTATTGCAATGTATCCGCCATGCTACTTGAATGAAGTATGCTGCCCATGCTCGCCATTGTGGTGAGTAAAATCGGAAAATGTGTTTTATATGTTTATAGTGACCCCCGACTATACTGATTTTCAACAAATTTTAATTCATTGGCTGTTAAGGCATATGCGTTCACCTCTTTCAAAGCCTTCAAGGTATGAGTGGAAGATGGTAGGTTCGCACTGATTTTACTGTCAACTGCCCAAGTTAGAAGCTCATCGCCGAAAAAGTCTCCTTCTTCTAGAAATCTTTCCGTCCACCAGTCTGTGGTTTTTCTTTTGGATACGACCTTGCACAATGAAAAGCAATGCATAGACTGGATCTCCTTCACGTATGATGAATGTATTTCTTTTAAATAAATGTGGCTTCAGTCGTTCACAAATGTCATCGAGGAACCTATCATTCATGCTCTTGAAAAATGGAACCTACAATCCAATCGGAACAAGGAACGTAATTTCTAACAAAATATAAAAGTAGGCTTATAATATAAAGGTAGACAAGATAAGTATGTATAGAGAAAAACAATATAGACGACAATGATGACAATTAAGATGAAAACATGTTTATCTCTAAAGTTAGAACCTGGTTGAATTATAGCCTTTTAATCGGATAAATATATTTATTTTTTTAAAGCTTGATCTTTGTTTGTGCACCAATATAACTTGAAAGCAAACAACATGTAAAAAAACGTTATTAAATAGTATTAGAACAAAACGTCAAAATATTAAAATTAACGTTTCATTATAAATTTTTAATATTTATAAACAAATTGCTAACTGTTGAACAATATGATAATATTTATAATTTCATAATATTTAAAAATATATTTAATTTTATTTTTCTGGAAAGCTAAGAAAACAACGTATATTTTAGTTTTAAATAAATTAAAACATATAGAAAATAATAATAAATAATATATTCAATTTTTAAAAGAAAAAATTAAAATAAAATTTTTGAACCATCAAAATAAATAAAATAAAAATATAAATTAAATAATATACTAGCACATGTTATTTTATTTAAATAAAACATTTAAAATAACAATTGTCAAAAAGAGATTCTCTTTAACTAAATATTCTCTTACTTATCTTTACTACAAAACATCCTACCAGTTTTAGATGATGAAGAATATAATAAAAGTTTATTAATTTTTTTAAATATGATAAATATCAAAATTTTAAATGTGTAGAAAGATGAAAAATTAAACAAGAAATTCTAAAACTCACATAAATGAAAATTACGAATTATTTTTTATTATAAACATGATGTTTCAGTCCTTTTTTATATCAAAAAACAAAATAATATATATATATAATATATATATATATATATATATATATAAAATAAATTATCAATTTTTTAATTAATTTATGTCAAAAATTCTAACATAATTTTAGGTGAACAGTAGAATATATAGTGTATTTCTACAATTCTAGTAAATTATAAGAATATTTTATGAATTCTGCTATAATATTAGAATGTTTTTATAATTATATTTAAATATTTATAGTATAACATATAGTAGAATACATAAATATTCAAAAAATTCACACCTTTTCCATATATTTAAAAAAAATTAGTTTTTTAATAAAAAAGCTACGAAAATAATATTAAAAAATATTTTGAATTTTCCATTTATTTTGCATTTTAGAATTAATTTTTTTTTTAAAATGAATGGTTAGCATTTCGTACCTATGTCTTACAAAAAATTACTTCCTTCAAACAAATGTAACCTAATATATATATATATATATATATATATATATATATATATATAATATATATATATATATAGATATATATATATATATATATATATATAATATATATTTGTGAAAATGAATATACCCTTAATGGTATATAAGCTTAAATATTCAAATCACCATACTACGTTGTTTTATATCATATATAAATTGTAATCATCTAATGTTCTTATAATTCAATTTATAACTTGATTTACTACCAATATTTTTATAAATTTCACATTACAATCCTCTTACATAATTTTCATTTTCAAGTATATTATATATAGCGTAGCAGGTGTTCGGCAAAAATATGTGATGTAAGAGGAAGATAATAGTGAAATTTCGAAAATTTTAAAAGTAAATCAAGTCGGGTGTTGAAGGTTAAAAACTTTATAATGAATATACCAAACATAGCGATGTATTATGATAAGTTTGGGTAGCTAAGCTTATATACCTTTAAGGGTATATTTTCTTTTTTCCAACATATATATATATAATATATATATCTATATATATATATATATATATATATATATCTATATATATATATATATATCTATATATCCAATTCTAAACATTCATTTTGGAAAAATAAAAATCTAAAATACTGTAACATCCCGATTTCCAGAATGAAATTCTAGGGATTTTATGCAATTCAGGAAGTCTACTCGATGAGTTGGGAGGCCCTAACTCGCCATGTACAAACTATTAAGGCCGCTTGGATTATGAAGCCTACCCGACGAGTTGGAGAACACTAACTCGACGAGTTGAGGTTGTGCATGAAAACCCTAATTTTTAATGTTTGCACCCTATTTAAAGGACCTTAAGTCCTCTCTCCAGCCTCCCTTACCATCTTATCGTCCATAAACAAACCCTAATCGAGCTAACCTTCCATTTTAAGTGTGTATAAGGCTAAAGAGTGTGTGTTTGGTGCATTTCTTGAAGAAGCTTGAAGTGGTGAGTGCATATGTAACATACACGTTAATAACCTTGTTCAGTTATCGTGTTTTGTATGTTTGTTAGTTTAAAAAACGAATATTATTAAATAATATATGGTTTTGAGCGTTGAGTTCTAACAAGATAGTTTTATGAGATTTGAAGTAAAACTATGTTTAGAATCATTCGGAAAGTATTGGAAGTGATGGGAAGTCTTATGTGATTCCGATAAAAAAGTCAACTATCGAAATTAACAAAAATATAACATTTAAGTTGGAAATAAGTAAAACTGATGTTATTGAAAGTTGTAAATTATTTTGTTAGAAACATATAGGCGAAAACCTCATCAAAAACGGAGTTCCGAGTGAAAAGTTATGACCTATCAAAGTTTTGCGACAAAACCCTCACAAAGCTATACGACGTAAAAAGTAAGTTTACAATAAAATATTTTATAGCCTTAGTGATCTAAATGAAAATCGTAGTATACGTTAAACCGAGAGCGTGCATAAAAAGAACGTCCAAATCTGACTTCATATGAAGAAGTTATGATTTTTCTAAAGATTCGACATAACAGTGTACAACCCGAAATTCGGTTTATAGATCGAGCAATGTTTAGCCGACTCAACCTAAATGAGAATCGGAGATCTCGTCAATAGTAGTTCAATGGTAAAAAGACAGATGAAAACAGATGTTGAATAAAGAAGTTATGAATTTTTAATGGACTTTTCCTGTCCCGGCCTATTACAAATATAACTTTAAAAATAAAGTCAAAATTAGCCGACGGAGTCTAAACGAAAGTTGTAGAGCACGGTCTCACCTACGTGTGGATACAAAGAACGTCAAAATGGAGTTTGTATACGGAAGATATGAATTTCTGAAGTTTGGAACACATACTTCGAGGTCTGACCAAGCTCACAACGTGAGCAACTAGAACTCACGACGTGAAGTAGTTGATCGACACCTCTCAAGCCTAGAAGACACGCGGCAAGCCTACGAGCTGACTAGGATCAAACTCACGACGTGAACATATATGGTTCATGACGTGAATGTCGAATTTCAACCTATAAATAGAGGGCCAGCCCTCTTGTTTCCGTTTACACAAAAACGCAACCCTCTCTCTCGTATTGCTGATTTTGAGCTATTTTCCTGAGCCGACGATGGCTAACTGCTGACAGTGTCTAGTTAGATTCTACCGGCAAAAACGCACTTAAGGGGTAATTTCATCGCAACATTCGGTTATTTCACGGTGAGTTCAATATAGGAACAATTGTATGTTATGTGTTATATGTGCAATGTGCTTTCCTGTGTTATTGATTTAAGTGGCTATTTCTTGATATTGGATTTCATGCCTTTGGCCATGTAGAGCATGTATTGTATCACTTTGGTATTGGCTTTGTGCCTTTGGCCATGTAGAGCATGACTCGTATCACTTTGGTATTGGCATTGGGCTAGGTAGGGCTGAAAGCCTGTATATGCTAGCAAAATGATAAGTAGAAATTGTATTTTCTGTGCCACTTAGGTTGGAGTTTTTATGTTTTATATCATGCTTATGATCCTAAATTGTTGTATCTCATTGATTGTAAATCCTTGAATCTAATCATTGGTTGATATGGAAAGCCTTTCATATGATACACATATGCTTTTGTTGTCCCTCGTTTCTTTTGTTCTTGTCATATTGTTATATATAGGGCATAACGTTATATTGTATCTATTGTTGAACTAACTAAGCGTCACCGCTTATCCCTCTCAGTGTTTAACTATTTCAGGTGATAAGCATCCACAGTATTCATGTTTTGTTGGAAAACTTAGAGTAGTTGAAGTTACTACGTTTGTACTTATTATACATATATGTATATGTATATATATGTTATAAATCCCTGGGTAGTTATGTATTTTATGAAACTTTGTAAAAAAACCTTGTTAGTCGGTTTGTATCCAGGCTTTTGTAATAAGACAACTGATGTAAATTATAATTATGAATATGCATGTAACATGTTTTGACTTTATGATAATGTTAAGTATGAAAGGGGTCTTTCAGCATAACTTAAGGAAGAGGCTATAGATCCGACTTTGGCATTGTTGTAGCAGCCATCTTGAGGTATAAAGCTGCTATATTGACCTTCCATTGCTTAGATCTCTTCTCATGAAAGAAAATAGTCATTTTTGGTACATCTTGGAGTCATTCTCGGATTTGGGCTTGTCATGTGAACATGGCTTCAGATGTGGACTCCTTTAGGCCTCTTTAGGCCTAAGGACTCAAGCTTTGGCCAACTTCCATGCCTAAAACACCTTGTTAAGCCTCGTTTTAGCAAAATAGCCTCTTTAATGCATGCATGGACGTAAAACTTGTAGCTTTATGTAGTATCTCAGACTTAAAAGTCTAGATCTACAGTTTGGAGCCTTAGTTTTGCTTAAAAGCGTCTTAATGAGAAAAGGGATGAAGGAACTCGACAAGTTGCTTATCCAACTCGACGAGTTGGATAGGGTTTTCCGCTCTCTGGATTCTGAGTGAACTCAGTGAGTTGGTTAGATAACTCGGCGAGTTGGTTGGGTTTTTCTCGGTTTATGAACATTGAAGAACTCAACGAGTTGCTCTAGTAACTCGCCGAGTTGTCTCGAGTTTTTCCCGATCCTTTGAGATATGAAGGGACTCGACGAGTCAGAAGATGCACTCGACGAGTTGAGTCAACATCAACTGTTGACCTTGACTGTTGACTTTGACTTTGACCATGGTTGACCAAGTTTGACTTTAAGGGTACTTTGGCATTTTGGAATTTTAATGAAGTTGGTCATAAGGGAATTGTAGGAAGTTGAGTTTGGAGCTGTGTCTTGGGAGATTGACATTATCATCCAATGCTACTTGTGAGGTGAGTTCTTCTCACTATACTGACAAGGTCTACGACACCAAGGTCGGCCCTTTATGTATTGAATCCTGGTTTATCGTTTGATGATATGCTTAGTGATCTGTTAGATCTCCATCCTGCTATATAGGATGGTGCTATGCTTAATGATCTGTTAGATCTGTATCCTGGTATATAGGATGATGCTATGATTAGTGATCTGTTAGATCCGTATGACTGTCTGTGCATGCTAGCTAGCGTTTGATATCTATGTGTTGATTGTGTGATTGCGGGTGGGTTGAGGTGGTCCTGCTTTGTGCTGAAGGCTAACAGACCCAGGGCGGCCCGGATAAACTAAAGGCCCAATGGGGCGTACCAGTCAGACCGAAGGCCCAGAGAACGGTCCAGATAGGCTGAAGGCCCGGTAGGGCGGTCCAGACATGATGAAGGTTCTGAGAGTGGGCCAGATAGGCTAAGGCCGGCGAAGCGGTCCAGTCACACTGTAGACTCTGTATGCATACTGTTTGTTATGATATTGTTCTGGTTGTATGGAGTTGGTATTTTGGGGGAACTCACTAAGCCTTCAAGCTTACAGTTGTGGATTTTGTTTCAGGTACTTCAGATGATCGCGGGAAGGCAAAAGCGTGACCGTACACATCCTCACATTTTATGATTTGGATTTCCGGGATTCTCTGATATGAACTATTTTGAAAACATTTTGTAATAAATAATGGTTTTTGGATATTTGACAAAGTTTTAAATTTTTATGAAAATTTGGTTTGTTACAAATACGAAATAAATGAAATAATTGAATATTATTTTCATCACTTATTTATTAAAAGAAATAATATATATATATATATATATATATATATATATATATATATATATAGGGTCCGGTTCCGATAATAACTTTTTATACGATGAGTACTCATGAGGACACCTTAAAAATTGATAAAAAATTAAAAATTAATACAAATAATAAAATCGAGCATAATAATATATTTGAGAGAAAAAAATTGGTAAAAACATTTGGAATCATTAAAATTGAATAATGGATCATGAAAAATAAATCATGGATCATAAAAATGAATCATGGATCATAAAAATGATCCATGATTCATGATTTAATTTTAATGATACAATTTTTTTTTCAATTTTTTTCTCTCCAATAAAGTACTATGCTCGATTTTATGATTTGTATTTTTTTTTCAATTTTTTATGGTGTCTTTCCGAGTTCTCATCTAAAAAAGATTCCTCACATGATACTGTTTTTTTTTCCCTCTTTCTCTCTCTATCTATCTATCTCTCTCTCTCTCTCTCTCTCTCTCTCGTCGCTATATATATAATATATATAGATATATATATATATATATATATATATATATGGTTTATGTTCTATGGAAAAAGCTAAAAACCCTAAAAATAATAAAAATGCATAAAAAAAATAGTTAGAAGTCACATACCTTTTTTTGACTATATATATACAAAAATCCTACTTTTTCATTAAATTCGCTGCAAAAATTTTGAAAAAAAACCATTATATATATATATATATATATATATATATATATATATATAGATATATTATATATATATATATAATATATATATATATATATATTATATATAGAGGGTAGGATTATATGGAAAACAAAAAAACCCTAAAAATCATAAAAATGCCTAAAAAAATATTTAGACATCAAGTTTTTTTTTTTTTGAATTTAAATACCATAAAATCGCAGGTTTTTTTAGAAATTTTGCTGAAAAAAATCGATTTTTTTTGTTTTTTTTTTCAAAAACATTTTCAGCGAAAATGCATAAAAAGTTGCGAATTTTCATAATATAAAATCAAAAAAAATATTTGTGATGTCTAAGTATTTTTTTTATGCATTTTTAGGTTTTTTTAGGGTTTTTTGTTTTCCATATAACCTAAAACTATCGTAGCACTGATTTTCGTTACATATGTGAGTTAGTAGGGCTAAGTTAAATTAATAATAAATCACCTTCTTGACGAAATAAAAACAAATATGACGTCTAAGATCCTTGGGTACGTTTAGAACCAAATTCTCATTCAACGGACGAGGTTTTAACCGTCTCAACTGTTCTGTGATATTAAACTGAAATGGAAATTTAAGAAAAAAAAATCAAAACATCATTTACGTTAAGTGTATAAAATAATCAGATGTTTTTCTTTATACATTTTTTATTATTATTTCCGAGTAAATAACAATTTGGAATCAAGGAAGAAAACATTTATATTAGTAAATTCTCCCTAAAGATCCTATTATTCTGAAAAATACTATGAATAAGTCTAAAATTCTGGTTTAAAATTAAAAAACCCAGAAAACTGACAAAAGAAAAAATTTATTTGTTTTAAAACTTTTGACCCATTCAATAGGTTGTATGACTAAATTGTTAATTTTTTTTATTTATATATAATTTATGAAAGTATTTTATATATATTCAAGTATTTTTTTACGTATTTAATATATTTTTTACGTGTGTATGTGCTTTTAGGTTTTTATTATATAGTTATTTTTTTTTGTTTTGATGTTTTTTATATGCATAAAAGTAATTCTTACGTATTTATATGAATTTTTAAGTATTTTAATGTGTTTTGATATTATTATTCACATATTTATGTACTTTCTTAAGTTTTATATATTATTTTTTAGATATTTTTATGTATATTAAATTTATATAAACTTATTTTTTATTTATTTTTTTAAGAATTTTTATATATTTTATTATAATTTTTTTACGTATTTATGTATTTTATATTAACTTTTATTGTAAACGAACTAATATACCTTGTAAATGAAGAAAAAAAAAAAGAACTACAATACTTGAAAACAAACATTTTTCAAAGACACGCGTTAACAATCAACGTCATTTTTGTAGTTGAATTTTTTTTATTTTTTCTTGAATTTAGTTTTGTAGATGAACAAAGTTTAGTAATTTATTTGTCAGTAATTAAGATATTTATAAATTTTGTTCATCTACAAACGTAATTTAAGAAAAAAAAATTGAATAATTTGCATGCAAAAATGAATCGATTGCTAATGACTGCCTATAATTTTTTTTTTGAAATACTATATTGTTTTTTTCTTCGTTTATTCGGTCTAATAATTAACGTACAATGAAACTTCTTGTAAAAAACTATATAAATATGTAAAAAAGTAAAAAAAATACAAAAATAATACCTAAAAAATATATCTAAATACATGAAAAATACTTAAATGTTAAATACATACATGAAAAAATATATTAAAATACATAAAAGTATGTTAAAATGCATAAATATATAATAAGTCAATTTAAACATTTAAAATATACAAAAAAAAAATCTAAAAAACTGTATATTAGAAACTTAAAATTTACATTAATACTTACAAAAAAAATATATAAAAAGCACGCAAAATACTTAAAAATGCATACAAATACATAAAAATAAGTAATATATATATATATATATAATATATATATATATATATAACATAAAAATAAATAAATATATAAAAAGAATAAGTAAAAAATCCCTAAACTTTGTTCATTTACAAACAAAATTAAAGAAAAATGGAAGATTTTTAACTGCAAAAATGACGTTGATCGCTAAGGATTGTTTTCGAAAAATGTTTATTTGAAGTACACTAATTATTATTTTTCCTTATTTACAAGTTCTAATATGTAGTTTACAATGTAACTTTAAAAAAATGCTTAAATACGTAAAAAAATCTATACAAAAATATATTAAAATACTTAAAAAAATTTGAAAAATATATTTAACTACATAAAAACTATATTTATATATTTAAAATACATAAAATTTTATTAAAAAAGTATATAAAAAACTTTAATAAATATTTAAATACGTGAAAAGTATACAAAAATACATACATGTGCCTAACTGTTTTTATAAGTTCTGATAAATACGTAATATATACATTTATACATTTAAAATACATAAAAAAGTAAAACAAAACATGTAAAAAAACTTAAAAAATTTAAACAAAATACATAAATATGTTAAAAATATAAAAATATTATAAAAAATATATAAAATTACATAAAATATATATAATTTTTTTGAGAAAATCTATAGAAAAGTCTTATTATTTTTGGAAATTAATGATTTGGTCTAATGACCTGTTGAACGGGTTAAAATGGGTTTAGGTGAGAAAACTTGTTGCGTTTTTGAAATTTTCTATTAAATTATTTTTTCCGGACTTAATTGTTAAATTTTCGGAAATAATACGATTTATCTAGAGATTTTGTAATACGTTTATACATTATATACAAAATTTGAAAATTTTTGTAGAAAAGTCTAATTATTTTTGAAAATTTTAACGACTTGGTCCCATTACCATTACCATTAGGTGTTTAAAAAGTCAAAAAGGCTAAATTGAAATTTTTTGCCAGGTTTCTTGAGTTTTATATTTAGAACTATTTTTTATGATTTAATCATTAATTTTGAATCATTTTTGTGGAGATTATCCTTTATTTCAACAATATTAACATTTAATCAGGCACTAATTATATATCAACCAAAAAAACTATCAACGAACCTTTTCTTTGAGCTTTTGAAAAGTTGGCTGAGGTTTACCCTGGTGTCTGTGTGTTGACACTGAAGCCGTTGAAAGCTGTTAACAGGTTGTGTGGATTTAGTCATACAACAAACTAAACCAGATAATAAATAAATTGTACACACACAAGACCTGCAAATTAACCTACATGGAATCTATAAACAATTTATAATTCCAATTAGCTATCATTCGGATATCGCATGGTTTTCTAATTTAACAAGATCATAATGGTGTAAAAGACAATAATTTTGAGTTTGTTGGTACTGTTATAAATTATCTACATGAACAATAAGAAATAAACAGCCTTTTTTTTTTTTTTTTTTTTTGTTGCGGCATGGTCATTGGTTATTAACACCAGCACATGTTATCAAAGATTAATTTGTGGGACGAGTTAGGACTCTTAATAATGATTTTTCATTCTCTTTCTTTAGTCTACTTTGGACTCTTATTAAAGATTTACTTTCTTCCGTTTAATTATATTTTCAAGATGACTATGAAAAACGAGAAGGAATAAAAACTTACTTGATATTCCAGGGCAATTTCAAGTTGTGTGACGACTTCGTTCATTATTGGCCGTTTTCCATTGTTACTCTTTAAGCACTGATAAGCAATAGTAGAAAACACCTCCAAACAAACAGGATGTATTTCGTGGTTTATACTAGTCCAAATAATTTTAGTTAGGTTGTTCTTTTTGTAATGCTTTCGTACCATCTGAATAAATGATTGAGATGCATTGTGGCTCCCAAAACACAACCTCCCGCACAAAATTTCAAACAACACCACACCAAAGGAATAAACGTCAGACTCCTTTGTTAGTATCCCAGTTGCAAAATACAGTGGATCACAATACCCGAGCGTGCCTGCAATATTGTTGGACACAACAAATGTGTATAACTGATTAGCTGGACCAAATTTGGATAGACCAAGATCTGTGATTCTGGCGTTCCAGTTTTCGTCTAATAAGATGTTGGAACTTTTAATATCGTGGTGCAGTACTCTTTGTTAGGTCCCAGCGGGATCATGAAGGTATGCTAGTCCGCGAGCCCCCCCAATACATATTCTAAGACGTCTAACCCAGCTTAGATCCTCGTTGTCAAGATGCGTGTCGAGACTTTTCCTAGATGCGTACTCGTACATGAGGATCTTCTCGTCATTTTCATATCAAAACCCTAAGAGGGAGACGATATTTCGATGCTTGTAAACTGACAGCAAAACAACCTCCTTCCAAAACTCAGAGTCTCCTTGTCCAAGTTTAACGATCTAAACGTTTCAAAGCAACAGTGGTATGCCCCATTGAATGTACAATTTCTCCCCTGTAGACTTTCCCAAATCCTCCTTCCCCAATGAGATGTTCTTCAGAAAAGTTGTTCGTTGCACAGATTTTATAGCTTCTAGTTTTATTTTGAGGTAATCAAACGGTTCTAGGACAGCCATCTTGTTATTTATCGACGAAAATTAGGAGACAATTACGCTTTAACTTTCAAAAACTCTCTCTCTCTCTCTCTCTCTCTCTCTCTCTCTCTCTCTCTCTCTCTCTCTCTCTCTCTCTCTCTCTCTCTCTCTCTCTCTCTCTCTCTCTCTCTCAAATATAAAAAATCATAGTTGATTTCTTATATTTAAATTAAACTAGGATTTTGACCGTCCGCACAATGCTGCGGAAGCCCCAGTATGTTCAAAAACGCAGATCGACACCATACATACCATGGAGACGATTAAACCATATAAACTGGAGCATAAAAATATCAAAATAAAATTTGGATACAAATAATTATGTACGAAGGAGACGGACAAAAATAAGACTTGAAATTGTATCCTAAAGAAATTGATAAAAAAAAAGATTATTAAAAAAATATGTAAGGGGTCGAAGTGTAACTTTAAAATATAATAGGGGATCAAATCGTAATGTATAAAATACCAATAATTTAACTTTAAAATTATCAGGGGTAAAAACTGTTAAATAAAAATTAAATGAGGGGAAAAGATTATAAATATGAAAATCTTCTATGACCATAACCTAAATGACTATTTCCAAAAACTATTGTTTTACATTTAATAATGCATGCTTGACAATATATAATATGATTTGGGTTTAGTAAACCTCGATTTGGAAATAGAAAAAAAAATATAAATCGTGGGAACATCATAGAAAAAGAAAAGGAGATGACAACACAATCGACGGATAGGAATAGAAGTTGAGATGAATAGTGATTTGCCTCACAAACGGATTTTGGTAATTAATATATATATGAGTATAATAAATATAACAACACTTAATTAGTTAATAATGTCGTCGACTTTAAGATATTTAATTCTACTAAACATAACAACCGTGAATTACTCAGAATCAAAGTAGCTAAACCGGGAAATTGGATAATATTCGGAGATTTTAATGTTGTAAGATGTAAAGAAGAAAGATACAATTCTCATTTCCGCCCTTCTAGTGCATCCGCCTTCAACAGATTCATACATGAGGCCGGCCTACAAGAGTTTAACATGGGTGGTGAGAGATACACGTATATGACACGTGTTGACGCCAAATTAAGCAAACTAGATAGGTTTCTGGTTTGTTCGAATTTCATGTCTGCATTCCCTGGCGTAATTGTGACGGCACACCCTCGTGAACTTTCTGATCATTGCCCAATTACACTTAAACAAGACGCGTTAGATTTTGGTCCAGCTCCATTCAAGTTCTTCAATTCATGGTTATTAATTGATGGGATCGACCAAACAGTTATACAAGCCTGGGGAAATTTTTCGGGATATGGCACTGCCGATAAATATCTAGCAGCCAAACTGCGACATGTAAACGAGGCAATTAAGCAATGGAGGAAAGTGAATCACCAAAAAGAAAAGCATGAGCTAATCAACCTGAAGGATAGTGTTGCATCACTTGAGAAAGAAGCAGAATACCGCATTCTTTCTAGCAATGAACTATCAAATAGAAGTAATGGGATTCAGAGGATACTCGAACTTGAAAGAATGATGGTGGCAGACTTGAAACAAAAAGCTAGGATCAAATGGACCATTGACGGAGATGAAAATACAAAATTTTTTCATGGTCACATCAATAGTAGGAATAGTAGGAATAGAATATCAGGTTTGTCGATCAATGGACGATGGACATCGGATGTCTCTGAAATAAAAAACGAAGCATTCAAATTCTTTCAAAGCAAGTTCATGGAAGAATGCTCATCTCGACCAAAACTAATTAACCCTCATTTCAAATCGATTTCTATGATGGATGCAATCAGAATTGAGGCACCAATTTCACCAGAAGAGGTTAAAAATGCAGTTTGGGCATGTGGCAGTGATAAGGCCCCGGGACCCGACGGATTCACATTCAAGTTCATTAAGAAATATTGGGGCACTATGTCGGAAGATGTGATGAGACTCATTCGACATTTTGAGGATTATGGTACCTTATCCAAGGGTTGTAACTCTTCCTTCATAACTCTAGCACCGAAAATCAAGGATCCGCTAACCCTATCTGATTATCGTCCCATTAGTCTCATCGGATGTCTTTATAAGATTATCACTAAGATCTTAGCTCTTAGATTGAAGAAGGTTATTGGAGGGGTCATTGGAGATGTTCAATCAGCTTACGTGGAGGGACGCAACATTTTAGATGGACCACTAGTCGTCAGTGAGATTTGTGCTTGGGCAAAACGAATTAAGAAGCGATTATTATTGTTCAAAGTTGACTTCGATAAAGCATTTGATTCTCTTAATTGGGGATATCTCGATTCGGTGCTATCACAAATGGGATTTGGCAATAAATGGAGGTCCTGGATTCAGGGTTGTCTATCATCATCTCGTGCTTCAGTTATAGTCAATGGGTCACCTACCAAAGAATTCGAAATTAGCAAAGGTGTACGTCAAGGTGATCCCCTTTCTCCATTTCTATTCATAATCGCAATGAAAGGTTTAAATGTTGCCATCAAAACAGCGGTTGAAAAAGGAATATTCAAAGGGATCAATATCTCTGGTAATGGACCAATGATTTCTCATCTATTTTACGCTGATGACGCGTTATTCATTGGAGAATGGTCTCGATCCAATCTTAAAAACTTGACTCGCATTCTAAGATGCTTTCATGCATCCTCGGGGCTCAAAGTCAACTTCTTTAAATCCAAAGTCTTTGGTATTGGAGCTACGAGTGTTGAAACCTCCAACTGGGCAAATATCCTTGGATGCGAAGCTGGTTCTCTACCATTCACTTATCTTGGGGTCCCGATCGGGGCTAATATGAACTTGGTCAAAAATTGGAAACCAATTATAGACAAGTTTCATTCAAAGCTCTCTTCATGGAAATCAAAAACATTATCATTTGGTGGGAGATTAACATTAATCAAATCTGTTCTTGGCAATCTTCCTACATACTACATGTCCATATTCAAAGCACCAACTACCGTGATTGACACCCTAGAAAAAATTCGTCGAAAGTTTCTTTGGGGTGGAGTGGAGGGGAAAAACAAGATTCATTGGGTATCATGGGATAAAATAACTGCACCGAAAGAAAGTGGAGGATTAGGTGTTGGCTCAATACGTGCACTAAACGTGGGTCTCATTGTAAAATGGTGGTGGCACTTGCAAACTGAATCGACTGCACTATGGAGTCAAGTAATAATAGGTATCCACACTCTTTCTAACAAGCCTTATGATTATCTTTCAAAGAAAACTATTACTGGGGTTTGGAAAAACATTGCAGGGACTATAAAAGATATTCATGGAGCTAGACTTACTCTCAACGACATATTCAAGTTGGAGGTCAAATCAGGAGAAAGCACAATGTTCTGGCAAGACAATTGGCTGAATAATGAGAAATTAAAATCAAAATATCCTTCACTTTATGATTTAGAATTGTGTAAAACATGCTCTGTTGCCTCTCGAATCTTAAATATTGGTAATTCCTGGGAATGGAAATCTTGCCCTTTAAACGCAGGATTATCCATAGAATTTAACAGGTTAAATCGGGAGATTGCTTCTTGCCAAATACAACCCGAACAAGACAAACGGATATGCTTGTTAACGCCAGATGGAAGATATACTGGGAAGCTCTCAGGCGGAAAATAGACCTAAATTCACATCAATCCATCATTCTCTTGCAGATCAGTTGGTGTAAGATTATCCCCATTAAGGTACTTTGTTTCGCTTGGAGAGCTGCACAAGGTCGTATCCCATCTGCTACAGCACTACAACATCGTGGCATGAATATCGATTCAACACATTGTAGCTCATGTATCGGAGGAGATGAATGCGCTGATCACATTCTCATCGGTTGTCCATACGCAAGTTATATAAGAGATAAAATTTTTCGAATGGTGCGGAATAAAAAAACAAATTTCAATAATGTTGGTGACCTACTTCAATTTGCAGCCTCATGGGGTCGATGCCCCAAGAAACGTATTAAACTACTATGTATATGCTACGGATTGATATGGAGTCTTTGGAAAACCAGGAATGACAGATTATTTCGTGGAGTTGCTACCACAACATCCACGGGGATTGATAACATCAAATCGTTAACATATTTATGGCTCAAGTGTAGAGGTAATGGTATTACTGGTGATTGGATAGATTGGAATTCCTCCCCTCTTTCCCATATGTAATAACTTTAAAAACTATTTCTTTTGTTTTCTTGTTTTGCCCTTGCCTAGTTTCTTGCTAGGTTTCGGGTTCTATTAATATATTTTGCCGTTTCTAAAAAAAATAATGTTAAGGACTTTAAGATATTTAAATAGGTGGTTAATAATTATTTAAATAGGTGGCTACAATGTCATGGTATTTAAGATATTTAAATATGCATAATGAGTTAAGACGCTAATTTATTTTTCATTTTACGTAAAAAAATTGACCTTTTACCACACAAAAAAACTTGTCAATATATACAGTTTTTTTTTTTTTAACGTCAAAGAAATATCACATCAATAAAGATAAGTTATGATGATATTTAATTTTGGTGACTAACCTATAAAAACCGTTATTATAGGTAAAAACCGTCACCATAGGGTAACAATTTTTATAGTTTTTCCAATCGTTTTTTATGGCTCATAATAAACTACTTTTTCTCTCAAGTTATTTTATTTTCATAACTATTGCTGACTTTTAGTGACACGTAATATATTAAAACATGATCACAACCTAGTATTAGTCACATGTTTTTTCATTTTTCATGGCTATTGTTGACTTTTAGTGAAATGTAATATATATTAAACCATGACCTTAAAATACTTGTAGTTATACGTTTTGTTCTTTTGTCATGACTATTATTGACTTTTAGTGACATATCTTTTATTAAATTGTGCACTATTAGTCACATGGTTTTCCGTTTGTCTTGACTACTATTAGTTTTTAGTGACACATAATATAGCAACCCGTGACCATAAACTACTTTTAATCACATGTTTTTTCCATTTGTCATAACTA